TTTGTTGCTGCCCGTGGGCTTTCTCTAGTTGCGGTGAGCGGGAGCTACTCTTTGTTGCGGTGCATGAGCTCCTCGCTGCGGTGGCTTCTCTTGTTGCAGAGCACAGGCTCTAGATGCACAGGCTTCAGTAGGTGTGGCACACGGGCTCAGTAGTTGTGGCGCACAGGCTTTGTTGCTCCTCGGCATGTGGCATCTTCCCAGACCAGGGCTCGAATCCGTGTCCCCTGCATTGACAGGCATATTCTTAACCACTGCGCCACCAGGAAAGTCCCTATAGGTTTTTATATGAATATAATTTTCATTTCTCTGGAAAAAGTGTCAAGGATTGCATACAGTAGGTGCTCATTTAGGTTTTTTAGAAAGTGCTAAGCTGTTTTCCAGAGGGGCTATACCATTTTACGTTCCTACCAGCAACGCATGAGTGAGCCAGTTTTCCTTCATCATTGTCAGCACTTGGTATTGTCGCTATTTTTTATTTTAGCCAGTTTAATAGGTATGTGGTGATATTTCATTGTGGTTTGAATTTTCCATTTCCCTAATTGCTAATGATGTTGAGCATTTTTTCATGTGGTTATTTGTCATCTCTTTACCTATTGGGTGAGATGTGTCTTCATGTCTTGGGCACATTTTAGTTTTTTATTGTTGAGTTTTGGGAGTTCTTTGTACATTCTAGATGCTAGTCTTCTTTTATGGAAATGACACTTGTCTGAGGCTGCCAGTTTGGATTTTGCTTGATTTTGAGTCCCTTTCCTGTGGCCAGTACTGAGAGCCAGTAAGTATTGATTTGTCTTCATATTTTGGCATTTACTTGTGCTTTTCTTTCAGAGGATAACTGTCTTCATTTTGCCTATGTCCTAATCTCTCTCTCTCTCTCTCTCTCTCTCTCTCTCTCTCTCTCTTTCACATAGTCTCTTAAACATCTTGGTACCCTACTCTCTGTACCCACAGGCTCATAGCAGCTGCTGTTGGACTTTCTTTTCTTTTTTCTTTAACTTATAAGTAATTTGAACTTTGGCATATTCCCTGCCTCCTAGTAATGCTGATAACATGGGTCACGTGTGATTTAATCAGTGCTCCGTGATGAACTTATAGTTTCTTGGGGGAAGATGTGTGAAGAGATTCAGATTCAAATGGATGCCATTATCCTTCCTGCTCAGAAGCCTCTAGAATGGAATAATTTATTGACCAAAAGACCTCATTATCCCTATAAAACATGTGTCATAATGGGATACTTGGGGGAAAATTGACATTATAGTAAAATTATAACTGACATCATAACCTTTCCCTTATAATCATGACAATAAAAATTCTTGGTCTTGGATTACAGTTCTAACTAATTATCTACTTTAAATAAGTGCAATATAGGAACAGGCATAGGGATCATATGTTTCAACACTAGAAAGGATAACAATAATTATATCATATAGAACATTAGAGCTGAAAGAAAAGTTCAAGAAAGACTAGGGCTTCCCTGGTGGCGCAGTGGTTGAGAGTCCGCCTGCCGATGCAGGGGACACGGGTTCGTGCCCCGGTCCGGGAGGATCCCGCGTGCCGCAGAGCAGCTGGACCCGTGAGCCATGGCCGCTGGGCCTGCACGTCCGGAGCCTGTGCTCTGCAACGGGAGAGGCCACAACAGTGAGAGGTCCGCGTACCGCAAAAACAAAAACAAAAACAACAAAAAAAGACTAATCTAACCCTCTATGTCATTCTACAGCTGAGGCTAAGAAAGGTGAAGCAATTTTCCTGAGGTCTCCCTGAGAGTTACTAGCGAGGGTGTCCCTGGAACCAAGTCCTCTTGGCTCCCTGTCCCTCATGCCTCTTCCATTAAATGGTCCCAACTCTGGTTCAGGCTTTGGTAGGTTAAGTATCATCATGACCATTTTCCTGTTGAGACAAAAGAAATCAAATCACTTGCCCACGACTGTACATGTCATTAAGTAGCAAACACAGGTGCAAGGGAGACCTGGAGGCTTCGCATGCAGCATTCATTCACATGCTGCATGTATTGCCTGGCTGCCTTCCTTCCTTTCTGCCCTCTCTCATTTCTCACATACTTAATGAACACCTGAACTATTTCAGATCAAATTATGGGGTGGTAGTGTTAATAGAGTGTGGTCTGTTTTAAAGGGTGGACGTGGCTCATAGGTTTTGTTTTGTTTGTTTTTTTGTTTTGGCTGTGCCGTGTGGCATGTAGGATCTTAGTTCCCCGACCAAGGATCAAACCCATGCCCCCTGCAATAGAAACACGGAGTCTTAACCACTGGACCACCAGGGAAGTCTGCAGCTCACAGTTTTGATGGTGCACACAGGTTCAAGTTTACAGGCATTCTCTTAAAAAGCAAAGGTTTATGGCTAGGCTTTTCCTCCGTACCTCTAAAGCAGTGAGAGGGCTCGGTCTAACTGAACCACCCAACTTCTGCCTGCTTGAAGGGCAATGCTCTTGCTGCGGTGGTTTCCTGATTATCGACAAGAGGCTTATCTGTCAAATTCTTCTTTGGGTGCTCTTGAAATGTGTACCTCAGGTACGCCAGGGTTGCCTCATGTTGAATTTTCTTTGTCAGCGAAGGACAGAATGTTCTTCTCTGCTGTGCCAATAGCACTTTCCCATGTACACTCAGGGAAGGCTTTTCCCCCTCTCAACAGGGCTCAAAAGTCTTGACTGGAGTACTTCAGAAATAGGTCTGGTTTATACTTTTATAAAAACAAGCAGAGTCTGGGCAATTCCTAGCGTGGAATAGCACTGATGATCTGAATTTTTCCTAGGCAAGCACATGGATGGTGCTACCAGAGGGCAAATGGATAGCACTCTGGTCCCCACTCAATAAGAAGAGAGGGTGGCAATCCCCGCTTGGTGAAAGTGAAGGTGGTATCTTATGAGAAGAGAGGCTGGCGTTCACAGAGAGAAAAGGCAGATGGCAGGTGGAGGCGTGAGGTGGAGAAATGGAGCTCGGGGTGCCTCGATGTGTCCATCCTATAGGCCTGCGGGAAAGAATTTATATTTTCTGGGTTTTTTTTTCTTGATGGAATATGCTGATAGTCCATATGTACATTTGGAAAATAATTAAAGTAATATTAGAAATGGTCGTGGAAAAGTCTTGGACCTGGAATTGGCTGGAACTCTGTCCTGAGCATGCTGTATTTATCAGTGTACTTTGGAGTTGCCCCAGAGCAGCCTCTATACCTCATCTCCCTGGCTGCAAGGGACCCTGGGAGGAGCTGCCTGTTTGCACTGAGTTGGGAAGAGCTGGGGATTTTTCCTCCTGTTCAGGGTGGGGCTAGTAGGAAGGGGCGAGTTTGCCTTGTCCTGTGAAGGTCTCATCATGGGTCAAATGTGCTCAACTAGTGTGTGACAGGTGAAGAACACTGGAGCCTGGGAATGTCTCCTCTCCCTCCCTGCTTTCTCACCACCACACGTGCCTGTCCCTCTTTCTTCTTGGGGGTAAGAAAGAGAATGTAGAATGGACTTGGATTTATATTTTGGTTCCTGAGACTGTAAAGCAGTTCCTGCCACTTTTCTGGAAATCTCTCTAACGTTGAAACTTTTTTTTCTCCTCTCTTCCTTACCAGTATTTCCTCTCAAGTATAAAACCACGGTTTAGAGTGCAGGCTTTGAGACCAGATAGACTGTGGCATGGCTGTGGCATCTTACTGAAACTCAGTGATGCAGTGTCCTCATCTAAAAATGGAGCTGTGTTACTGTCCAGATGGTTATAAGGATTCATTGATATAATATACAGTGAGTAGTTAGCATATTGCTGGGCACACAGTAAGTTCCCAGTAAACGACGTCTATTATTATTAGAGCAGGTAAACTCTCTATGGTACCTAGAATTGTGTTTGGCGTTAGGTAACCAAAAACTGGTAGAAATGATTATATTACTGATTTTAGTGGCTCTTGAGGAATTTCAAACTGAGCGTACCTCCTAGGGAGGTCCTCAGAGCCTTTTTTGTTTTCTTTCAAGCACCTGACCAAATACTCTGGCAACAGGTGAGCAACGTGATTCCAACAACAGCCTGCAGCTGTGCTGTCCTGATGAGCCTGGGCATATTTGAAGTTTCACTTTAGAAAGCAAGAAACACATCCTAGTGAACAGGCCTAGCTTATATGGGGCAAGACTTTTCCAAAGTCACATTGAGACTGAATTAAGTTAAGCGTTTATTCACTACTTTGCCATGTATCCAGCATGGCCCCCAGAGAGCTAACAGTCCAGTGTGAAGCCGTAAAACTTATTTTTGTATTGCTTTTTAAGTAAGAAAAAATGTGAAAAGTCAATAGGAATAAAATATGGTGCTCTCTTGGACTCTCCCTTTGGCAGTACCATTTGTGTCGTGATGGAGAACTTGGGCTTGAATCGTTGCTCTGCCACCTGCTCACCCTGTGGTCTTGGGCAAATCATCTCCACTCTTAGGGCCCTAGCTTGCCTATCCATATAAGGGGTTACTAATATCTCCACTTAAGCGCTTGTAAGAATTATGCGGAGTAATTCACGGGAAGTACCTCCAACAGTGCCTGGCGTTTAGTTCAGTCCATGTTTGTTATTATTAGTTTTATCTCCTCCTTCCGGCAGCCAAAAGGATTATCTTTTGCAGTACCATGGCTGACTAGGTGATCCAAGTCAGGGGTGTCCAGAGTGGTGCTAGGGTCTTATTTTGGTGCCTTAAGCCCAATATGACCTTAAGGGTGCTTTCAGACCTTGGGGTCTTTTTTTTTCTTTCTTTCTTTCGTTTTTTTTTTTTTTGTTTTTGTTTTGTTCTTTTGCGGTACGCAGGCCTCTCACTGTTGTGGCCTCTCCCATTGCGGAGCACAGGCCCCAGGCGCGCAGGCCCACCGGCCATGGCTCATGGGCCCAGCCACTCCGCGGCATGTGGGATCTTCCCGGACCGGGGCACAAACCCGTGTCCCCTGCATCGGCAGGCGGACTCTCAACCACTGTGCCACCAGGGAGGGAGGCCCCTCTTGCTTTCTTTTGAAATGTACTTTTCTCACCCTCTCGGTTTCAGTACTCGGGATTTCCCGCGGAAAGATCTGAATCTGATCACGACAGCCAGTGGGGCGGGAGTCCTCTGACAGATGCGGCCTCCCCGCAGCTGCTGGACCCCGCGGACCGGCCGGGCTCTCAGCACGACGCGTCGTGCGCCTACAGGCAGTTCTCGGAACGCGGCTCTCTCTGCTACGGCTTCGCGCTCGACCCCTCCAGGCTGGTGGAGGAGAGGCATTTCCACACCCAGGCCTGCGAGGGCGGCCGGTGTGAGGCAGGCAGGTACTTCCTGGGAGCGCCGCAGGCGGGGAGGGAGCCCTGGTGGGGCTCTCGCGCAGCCTTGCCCCTGACCAAGGCCTCCCCGGAAAGCAGAGAAGCCTATGAGAGCAGCATGCCTCACATCGCCTCGGTCCACAGGATCCACGGTAAGGGCGGCTCCAGCGACTCCAGCGTTGCGCCTCTGGGCAGATTTATCCTAGTCCAGCTTTGACCCTGGAGTGATCCCCACCCAATGGTTTCCTCCTTGAATTTGCAAATCAGAAACTCTAACCCATGGGAATTTAAAAACCAAATCCACTCTTTTGAAGTGTATTAATGTTGCTGATGTTTGCTAAATACATTTGTTTTGGGCAGGCGAGTAAACATGAGTCCCATTTTAACACCAAGGAAAAAAAAAGTAAAGAAATTAAAGTGAATTGTTAAGTCTATTGAACTTGTAGTATGTATGCATTTAAATTTCTTGTGTATTATATTCTTCTGTATTCTCACCCTTCCAATGTGGACCGGAGTAGTTTGGGGCTCATCTAGCAGGGTTTCTCAATGAGGGCACTATTGGCGTGTTGGGGAGGCCTGCCTTTGTTTTATGGCCGATCACTCATGTCACAGGTGTTTTAACCTCCCTGGTCCTCTGGGCATTGAATGCCAGTAACTGTCCCTTTCCCCCATCATATGGCAACCCACAGTATCCTCTGTGAGTTGAGGATGGAGTGAGGTGTGGGACCCATGGGGATTTTCACCTTGGGATTATTACACGGCTCTACAAACACACAGAAATGGGCGCTGCAGTTAAAGCCTTTAGTGTTATTAATGGTCTTCTTTGTCCATTTCAATGTAAACTGGTCAGGGAGAGCTCATTCTGTCCATTCCAAGCTTAGGTCCAGGCAGGTCTTGAAAACCCTTCCCATTTTCTTAAAAGTCAGTGACACTAAGGTGGATCCAATGGCTGTGCTATTACTCTTCTTGCTGTGTCTCTAGGATAAGAAATGTGCTAGACACTGTTGTTCTCACACATAGAAGTCTCCTGCACATACCACCTAGGCACTTACTGTTTTCTGTGAATGGTTTTGCTTTGTTTCCATTTTTGCTTTCTACTTTTCTGCTTTTATTTTGAATTTCTCTAGTTTGGTAGCCTGGGAATGAAAACCCAGGGCAAAGGGCAATTGCTTACCCAAGAATGGAGTGAAGTGAAAATCCTGCCTTAACCCACATGGTCAGGAGGAAGATATTAGAAATAAAATGAGAAGAAAAGGGAAAAGGAAAGCAATGACTAGTGTGATCCCAGGCTTCTCTGTTGCATTAAGCAGTTTACAGCTTTCATATGTCCCTTTTTGTTTCTCTTCTCTCTTTTTATATTGACTTCAGACTGTTTTGAGAATAACGTAATTTATGGAATAATATTTTAGATGCACTTTTCCTCCATATTAGATCTCTTTCCTTGGTTCAGAACAAGTTGTTATTAGCATTTAAAATATTTATTCTTATTTCAGAAGCAATAGCAGGGTTACTGTATGATTGTGTGTGAAACAGATTTTTTTTTACCACTGGATTTGAGAAGGCAATATTTATATTTTTAATTGGAACTATATATATGTGTGTATATATCCATGCACACATACACACACACACATATATATGAATATGTATACATATTTTAAACCTTCAAATAGTTTAATTACTAATGTTAGATCTTTATTGTAACTCTACTTTAGAAACATGTAGCAATTTTAACATCTTAGGTGATTTAGTTGGAATTGAGAAACTAGTCCAGCCTATATCATCATCTTCCTCAAACCCGATGGAAAGCATTATCTAAGCATCACTTCAACATAGCACTCCTCTAGACAATAACAGAAACCAAATCCTATGTATTTTTCTTTTATTATTTACAGTCAGACAGGTCCAGGGATGTGCATCCATGGACAAATATAAACATACTTTACTGTCTTGCTAATTGGCATTCACAACCCACGAACAAGGTTTACCTTCTAGAAAACTTGTTATAAACTTCATCTGCACTTAAAAGCCACTGAGAACTATGAATTCCAGGACAATATGTTGACACTGTCATGTGAGCCTGTGTCTGTTTCAAATATCGGTGCATATATTAAAATGGAAAAATATAAGGTTTCTTTTAATAGGAAAAAGAAATACACTTACAATACTGGGGGTGATTTTTGAGACCACTTACTTTTTACTTTTTCTAATTTCTAGGGCGAGGTCATTGGGATGAAGACAGTGTGGTCAGTTCTCCAGACCCTGGGTCTGCCAGCGAATCAGGTGACCGATATCGCACTGAGCAGTATCAAAGTAGCCCACATGAACCTAGCAAAATCGAAACTCTGATCAGAGCCACCCAGCAAATGATTAAAGAAGAAGAGAACAGGTTGCAGCTGAGGAAAGCCCCCCCAGACCAACTGGCTTCCATTAATGGAGCTGGGAAAAAACACTCCTTCTGTTTTGCAAACTACCAGCAGCCCCCAACGACAGGCGAAGTCTGCCACAGCTCCGCTCTTGCCAACACTTCACCGTGTGACCACATCCAGCAGAGAGAGGGAAAGATGCTGAGCCCCCGCGAAAATGACTACGACAACAGTCCCACAGCACTGTCGCGGATAAGTAGTCCCAATTCAGATCGCATTTCCAAATCCAGTTTGATCCTAGCTAAAGACTATCTACATTCGGATATGTCTCCTCATCAGACGGCAGGAGACCACCCTGCTGTCTCTCCAAACTGCTTTGGCTCTCACCGGCAGTATTTTGATAAGCATGCTTACACGTTAACTGGATATGCCCTGGAGCACTTATATGATAGCGAAACTATTAGAAACTATTCCTTGGGCTGTAATGGCTCACACTTTGATGTAACTTCCCATCTAAGGATGCAGCCGGATCCAGCACAAGGACACAAGGGAACATCTGTTATAATAACCAATGGAAGCTGATGTTTTTTCTAAAAGATTTTGTTCTTTAAGGATCTCTGAAACATATTTATCATTTAATGCCCCATTACCAGCATTTACAATGCCACAGATTGTTAGAGTGGATAATTTAGGTTACTGGGTATTTGACATGTGTTCTTGTGAAATCAAAGATAACAGCACTGGCATTCAGGGTTATACACAGGTAATGGAGCTAAAGTGAATACACAAATTGCCCCTCTATTTATATGGGAACCAGGATAGATAAATTTTGAATTGAAAAATACTTGTGTAGATTAAGTGAGCATATATATCACATGAAGGGACCGATGGATGACAACAATCATTATGATGATCCAGTGAACTTCATACACACAGACCACTATCCGCAAACTGCTATATGTACTTTACATATGGAAATATAGACTATATACCATAAATATACCCCAAGTGGGTAAGTTTCCTTAACCCTAGCACATTAAGCATCTTAAAGAAATTTCCATTCCCAAAATAACTGAGAAAGAGATATATCTTGTAAACTGGTTTCTTCTTTGTGGTTTCAACCATCCAGCTCATTTCGTTCAGGCATAAATTAGGGAAATGGTTCTGGATATGATACAAGAATGAGTTTTCACCTGGCATCCATTATAAGCAATCAGGAAGTGGTGATTTTTCACCTTACTTTTGAGTTAGACAAAGAACAGGATCACACTGACATAGCGGTAAGGGTTTCTCTAAGTAAAAACACTGAGATATTGGGACACACATCAAAAGCCTGGTGTGCCCAACTGGAAATAGATTAGTAGAGATGGAAAGGCCAGAGGCAGAGAAAAATGAAATGATATCTCAAAACAAACAATTTCAGGGTCAGCATATGTAATCAACATATTTGGGGCTTGTAAAACTAACCAAAAAAAAATTCAAACTAATTCACCAAGAAAAAAAGGCTGATAAGTGCAAAAAAACCCCCCCCACACACACAAAAAAAACTAAGGGAAACCAGTGAATGCTACATGACAGCAGTGTGTTTGAACACATTTCAAAGCACAGATGTGCAAATGTGACATGTGGAAAGCCTCAGGAGAGAGTCTAAGATAAAAGCCTAGGCTGACAGACAAATGGTTAGAAGGGTACAAGTAGTACTCTGACTGAAGGAACAGGCAAAGCGTTCATTATTCCATATTGTTTGTAAACAGCAAAAACAAACTTGGTCTTGAGTTCATGTGATACAGTAGAAAGACCAGCAGACTAGATGCTGAGATCTCTGAGTTCCAGTTTGACCCTGCCTGTAACTTATTTTGGGAGCACAGATGTATCACTGACCACACCTGGGCCCCAATTTCTTTATCTGTATGGCAGCTCTAAAGTTCCAAGGGTCTGTGGTTCGTTCTTGCAGCAGTACTGAACTTGTTAACCAGTTATCTCTCTGCTGTGAATTGTCAAGGCTCATCATTCTGGCTTACCTGCACTCATACAGAGGTCTAGATGCTTTGAAACTTAAGCAGGTGCATGGACTCTTTTAGGCATATTATAGTTACAATCAACTTTCTAGTTCAGCCGAGATATAGATGGTAGAAACTGATGACGGAGAAGAAAAATAAGTAAGATTTATTTAATGCATCATTCTCTAGTAATCAAAGCAAAGTGACATAAGTGATTAGAGAAATTTTATAGAAAATATTTCCTAGGAGTCCCATGCCTGAAACTCTTGCCATATGGAAGGGGGGAGGGAGGTATTAGAACTTACATTTTGAAGACAGAACATGACATTGAACACTCAGGGATTGGTAGTATATTTTCATCATTTAATACAGTTATTTGGCAGTCCAGAGGCAGTTGACAATCTGAATGATGGTAATCTGAGAGATGAATATGGTTGTTTGTATGTGAGAAAGGAGGCTACATAAAATTAAATAAGTAGCTCTTGGGTATGACAGCAACGTTTGTGCTGTAAATGAAAAAGGTGCACGTGAGTGAGAAAGTTAGTGGTTATCATATATACTTTCAAAAATGTTAAAAGAACAATAAAAACTAAAATTTGAACTATACAAGCAAAAGTATTTATGGAAAACCCAGGAACACTTAAAATGGATTTTTGATCAATTTGCAACATGATGTAAGGTTTTCTGAATGCTAAAGTTTTTGCAGAATTCTGTAGATGGACAAATGGTTCAAAGGCACAGATATCTCAAGAATATGGAGCATTTTGGAAAGGAAATCTACACAGATGAGTTTTACTAATGGATACACATTCTACCAAAAATGTCAAGGACAGATGGTATAAAAGAAATGGAATCTTAAGAATCAAGAAAAATGAATTGATATGAAAGAAAACACTGTCATAGTAATTTCAGTGGGATTTTTCTATGGAAGATAGTTAACTGATGAAAGAAATAAATTATGAACTCTACAATTAGGGGGTAGTCAGAAGGAATAATGCTCTTTAAAATGGTATGACCAATATTTTTAAGTGAAGACAGAATTAACTGAATTACATCTTGATTAAATTTTTGGTAGATTGATCCAGTTTCAAACACAACCTATTTATTTAATTTATGTCTCAATAATTTTATGGTAGCAGCTTTATTACATTACATATAATGCCTATATATGTATGTTCCCATTTAAAATTAAACTTAAATTGGCTTTAGTTTTAATACTTGATTTCCATAACTTTGCTAGATGCTGAGAATTCACTGAAATAGAGAAGTATGATTTTTATATCACTTTGGGGATTCATAAAAATGTGTTATAGCCAATTATTAGAACAATATGTAACCATTCATTAGATGATGCAAACCTCATGCTTTCTAGTAATAGTAGGAGTATCTTTGTTTCTCATTTTACCTGTCTGCCCTACCTAACTTAAAAATTTGGATGACCAAAGAAATAAATGAATATTTCCCCATCTTCCTTGGGAAAATTTAGTTAAAACTATTATTGAGAATATACAGATTTGATGTATTATATTTGGATGCATAATATTAACGTCACAATCACTACAGGTCAGACATTTAGGTGTGTCACACAGGTTTTTTGACATACTGTGCTGAATATAATGGGCTAGCTTTTTCTAAACTGTGATTGCCTGATTTAGGATAATACAACACAGGGCTGGTGTGACATTCAATATGAGACAGGATGCAATAAATGATTTGCCTTCAGTATTATACAGAAAACTCATTTATTCTTTTTTGATTATATTTTATAGGACTAGGATATTTTCATGGGGGGGCTATTCTTCATTCTTTCTATACCCTGCTGCCACATGCTGCTTCTGGGCAGAGAACCCCACTAAACTAGGCTTTAATGGGCTCTTCTAGAAAAGGATAATATGCTTCATTTTCTTGTCTTTTTAATGGTGGATGAGGATCAATTCAATAAAAGATCATTTGGAAAATATGCATAGACATTTTAAAATAAAGATTTTTTTCCCAAGACCTAGACCAAATAAGTTTGATAAAAGACACTACAGCTAAAGAGACCTTCTGAATACAGATATAATATTTTATAGCTCTCTTGTTTCTTTTAAGAGCTGGATGTTACTAAACTATTCAGTGCAATTCTATTAGTACTAGTAGTATTTGGAAATGACAGAGTCAATGCTGATGTTTGGAAAACTGAGGATTTGGCCATTTTGGGGTCACTTACCTTGCCCAGAAGAATAGCTTATGCTTCAATGTACTCCGATTTAAGAAGTTTGAGTGCCCAGATTTGGTACCTTCATTCACTCACTCAACAGGACCGAAAGACACATCTTGTTTTCTTAATGACTTAATAATGAATGTGAATCCTATGGTTCTCCAAATAAGTGATTCAACTTTCATGTCAGTGTCAGCTTTTGTGAATAGGAATTTGTCTATAAGACAGCAAAATCAATTGGTTAGTCCTTCCTGGAAAATGCATTGTGGATAAAACATTCATTTTCATTCTAAACCTCAAATGAATGACAGAACAGCTATGGACACATGCCTAGAAAATATTCTTGGGAGAAATTTCTGTGTGGGGCTCATTTCTTGTGCACAGGAGTTGTACGGGTAATGCTGAACTCAAAAAGTGAGATTGTGCTCATATCCAAATAGGATTTGCTCAGAGTTCCTTTTCTAGGACGGTATGCAGAAAGGCTGTGTGTATGTATAGTACACACACACACACACACACAACACACACACACACGCGCGCACACACAAGCAATTGTAAAACAAGTAACAAAGTTCTATTCTGCTGTGCTCCTTAAAAACTGATGGTTCACATAAGAAATCCTAACTGATAATTTAAACCAAACATTTATCATTTTATTTATTACAGTTTTGCTGCATGGGAATTTGCTTTCATAAGCCTATATAGTTTGTCCTAATTTGCTGATCCGGAGCACATTTAATCACAGTTGAATTTGTACCCAACAACCCTGGTGTTTTTACATTTCAAAAGAAATGAAATTGGCATGGAAAAAATTTTAGAAGTACTGTAACTTTTTTCCAATATTTTTCCCCAAAGGGAAATATTTCAAAAAACGAAACATATGAGTAGGCACTTCAAAAAAAGATAAAATATTTTATGTTTGTTTTTTGACTGACATGCTATAAAAGGATTATATTTGTGAAAGAAGATACTGATTGCCAATATTTCAAATACCATCTTGCAATGTATAGTTTTTAGTGATATCATAGTATATAAATCTGTAATTTGAACTTTTACTTTGGAATGTAAAGTAGAAAGTATTAGCTATGTCAATGATATCTTGCAAAGTGTTCCCATTTATAATTATTTATATTGTAAATAGCTTTCTGAAGTAAATTCGAAGTTAATGTGCATAAAATGTATTTATTATGTGAGGAATTTTTTGGTTTAAAATATAGTTACCAATATGCAGTTTGAGTCTGAATTATTCATTGAAAGGAAAATTTCTATAGGACAAAGACTGCCAACTAGAAGACTAGCAATGTAAAGAAATAAGGATTGTTTTAGCTCTAGAGTCTCTTGAAATGGGTAACACGCACACACACACACACATTTTAAGAGACCTAGTAATAGAAGCTTACACATATGCACAGTAACTATTAGGTAACGGATCTGATTTTCATTAGACACTGGAGAATGGTTTCTCAATTTTTTATTAGAACATCTTAAGCAGGACTTCTTTGGTCTCCACTTTGCTAAAATAAAGTGAGAAATTTGAAAGTATAGGTTACATGTTTAATGTCCAAGGGGGAAAAATAAAACCTATAATACTGAGATTATCTAATTTGAATATCTAAAACTAGTTTTAGATAGTCTAAATTGTCTCATTTATATGGATATGGCCAAATCCTTATAAATTGTCTAATTTAGACTATCTAAATTAGATAGTCTATTGATTATCTAGTTTTGAATATCTAAAAACATATAAAAACATAGCTTGAATAATTTTTATTTTGGAATCCAAAGTATTTTTAAAATTTAGAAATTAGGAATTAAGGTCAAACAAAAAATAGATTGCCAGGTGGTTCTCTCTTTTTTCATTTTCATAGCCCCCAACATGGGAAATCCGCCTCCAGGGATTTCTGATTTACCTCGATGTATTCCAGAAGTTGTCAACCATTAGCCAATTCAACAAGCCTACACGATATAGTTTTAATTCATTGGAAATGTTATTTGTATTTCATTAAGCTTTTTGACAAAGCTGCACAAAGTATTGCCATTAACATTACAGCATTTATCAGATATTTTCCTACATGATCCTTTAAATATTTGTTTTAGTGCTTTCATTTCTGAAAATAAAATTGTTTTCACCTACTTTACACTTCAAAATAACTGCACTTCCAAATTAATTCACAACATTTATGGAATTCATATTATATGCCCCACATGGGATAGACACCAGAATCTTTCTCATTGAAGGACATTATAGGAAAGCACATACGGAGGGTCTTTGATTTTCCTGATGCGCTTTGAAAGTGCAAATTCTTTAAAATGACA